TCAGACGATCCCACTGTTTAAGTAAGATCACCGCAGACCTGGAGAGTTTCTTGCGCTCCTCTGCACTTGGTGGCAACTTCCGCCTCCAGAACACCAATAACTCTCCGATAACTGAATCAGCCTGCTGCTGGACACTGATATCATTCTCAGAAGAACATGGAAAGGATACAATTTGGTTTACTTGGGTCACCAACTGCCTGTGACTAGCTTGACATAATGCGGCTGGAACAACCAACCCAGGAAGCAGATCCTGAACCTCTGTCGCAGAGGAATCCTGACGTGACAAAGCATCAGCGTTTCGGTTAATCTTACCTGATCTATACTTGACCTCAAAGTCAAACACCGCTAACTGGGCGGCCCAACGCTGTTCCATGGCACCCAACTTGGCAGAGGTCAGGTAGCTAAGAGGATTATTATCAGTATAGACCACACACTTATGACCCAGAAGGTACTCCCTAAACTTCTCGGTCATGGCCCACTTGAGCGCAAGGAACTCCAGCTTCATTGAACTGTAGTTAGAGGTATTGCGCTCAGTGGGCCTAAGACCACGACTACCATAGGCTATGGGACGCACCTTACCCTGCTGCTCTTGAGAGAGGACTGCACCTAACCCCCTATGACTGGCGTCCACCTCCAAAATAAAGGGGAGTGAGAAGTCCGCATATGCGAGTACAGGGGCTGTGGTGAGTCTACACCTCAATTCCTCAAAGCTACTCTGGCACTCACTAGACCAGGCCTGTTCAAATTCTTTGGGGCCATGCTTGGACCTTTTTGGGGCTGCCAGTTTTGCCACCAGCCTGTGGAGGGGAGCCGCCAACCTCGCAAACCCCTCCACAAAGCGCCGATAGTAACTAGCAAACCCCAAAAATGACCGCAGCCCCGAAACACTATTAGGCTGAGGCCACTGTGAAACTGCCTCAATCTTCCCTGGATCTGTAGAGACCCCTTCTGAAGAGATCACATGACCCAGGTACTGTACCTTACGCTTAAAGAAAGCACATTTTGACAATTTTGCTTTCAGGCCCTCTCTGAGCAACCTGCTTAAGACAACCTCCATCCGGGCTAGATGCTGATCTACTGAACTGGAAAACACCACAATATCGTCCAAGTACAAAAGCAGAGACTGGCACTGTTGGTCTCCAAACAACCGTTCCATTAAACGCTGAAAGGTGCTAGGGGCATTACAAAGGCCAAACGGCATCCGGTTCCATTCAAATAGCCCGAATGGAGTACAAAAAGCAGTCTTCGGTTTATCTGCCTCACCTACAGGGACCTGATTATACCCGCTAGCAAGGTCCATGGTAGAAAACCAGCATGCCCCCGCCAGCGAGTCTAAAGTCTCCTCAATGCGGGGTAAAGGAAAAGCATCCTTCCTTGTCTTAGCATTTAAACGACGGTAGTCTACACACATATGTAGGCTACCATCCTTCTTTTTAACCAAGACAATGGGTGACGCGTATGGACTACAACTTTCTCTTATTACTTGAGCCTCGAGCAGTTGATTTATGTGTGCTTTGACTACCTCGTATTCAGATGGAGGAATGCGTCTATAACGCTGCCTCACAGGTACGTCATCAGTCAAGGGAATCTCATGGGAAATGAGACTGGTACATCCCAAATCACCCTCATGTATAGAAAACACGGATGCATACTTCTCCAATAGTTCCCTCACCTTCCCTTGTTCTTCCGCTGAAAGTACAGACAAATCAATTTCCCCAATTTGTTCTTGTACAGACTGGACAGCCTGTGCAACCTGTATACTCACCCTAGCTGAAACTACTGGAACTTCAGAGATCTCTGGGGGCAAGCTAACAACGTAAACCTGGTTAACAGTCCCCACAACTGTGCCGGCATACACCACTACATCTGCGGTGCTAACATTCACTACAGGCACGTAAGCAGTTCCATGGTCTACCTGGACCAGTGCAGGGGATGCCAACAAACCTGCTGGAAGACCAGATTCTGGTGGCTCAAACAAAACAGTGCCCCTGGAGTATTGGGTTGAACAGGTTACGGCAACCAATTTGATGGTGCCTCCGGGGATGCGGCACACCTGACGTCCTCGTACTTTAACTCTACTTCCCTGATCCGAATCTGGCTGAACTTCAATGAGGTGGCAGTGTTGTAAAGCCTGAAATACAGAAGTGGGAGCCTGTGACACAGCAGGTAGATCAAAAAGCTGAGCGCCATGCCGGCCAAAGAGCTCCCGATAGCAGCGGCCCAGGATATTCATTCCCAGAACCCCAGGAACCTGAGCACACATACTACCCGGAGGGTCTCTGACCACCAGCACGCCACAACCTGTAACCACCTGTCCACACAATTCCACATCTAGCTCCAGGTAGCCAATATATGGAATCGAAAGGCCATTCGCGGCCCGAAGCTGCAACCAATGGCATGACCTAAGTTGTTCCTGACCCCATGCCCCAAAATTTGACACAAAACAGCTCTCAGTAATGGTGGACACCATAGACCCAGTGTCCACCAAACACTGTACCTTGACCCCGCCCATATATACAATAAGTTGAGGACACGATGCCATAAAGCGAGACATAAAATCTACCTCAGCTGAAACATTTGAGCCTGTTCTTCTCCCGACCAAGCTGTGGCCCTGCAGCTCAGCGGGTATTAGTTTTCCGACGGTTGCCCAGACTGCACACCCCTTGTTGAAGCGGAATCAGCACGTGCTGGCGCGAAACGAGGAGGTCTCCGTTCCCCATCACATTCCCGGGCAAAATGACCAGGCTGCTGACACCGACGACAAATAACCTGATTAGACCGGGATAACTGAAGACGTGGTTGGAGGTTTTGAATTTGAGCCACATTTTGAGTCAACTGATTCAATTGCTGTTGTTGTTTTTTCAGCATTTCTCTCAATTCGCGCAATTCAGAACTTGCTAAATTACTACCTCCCGGAGGCTGATATCCCTGTACCCCATATTGGATGCCATAAGCAGATGGTACAGATTGGCTACGACCACGTGTTCCCCCAGGCATACCCTCCCGTTCCCAGCGCATTGCTTCACTACGAACGTCCAATAACCTAGCGTTAGGCTGGCGACGGACAAACTGTTTGAGTTCACGTCGAAGAGCACCATCACGAACGTGTTCAACAAATTGGTCGCGCAACAAAATATCTGCATTTGGCATCCCATGAGGCGACTGGCGCTTTACTTTTTCCAGGAGATTTAACAGGACTAGGGAAAACTCTAACAGGGTCTCCCCATCCTGTTGTTTCCTGGAAAAAAAGGACTCTTGAAGAGCTACATATGAACTAGTACAACCATATAATTCTCGCAAAGCCTGAAAAATTTTGTTTGGATCCTCCCTCTCATCCCTTGGCCGATATCGAATATCATCCCTCGCCTCTCCCTCCAAATGATCAAACAGAAAAAATGCCTGATCAGAAGTAGAGAGATGGCGGAGTCTCATGCAAGTTTGAGCCTCCTCCACCCACTCTTCGATCATAATGCCAGATCTACCATTGAATTTTGGGCAATTTCGATCCCGTGGCACAAAAACAAATCGTTCCGCTGCTGAGGAACTAGGAACGGCAGGAAGAGGATCAACCACCGCCGGAATGGAAATATTAGAGGGACCAGGTTGTTCAACGGGCACTTGTTCGTGTCGCAATTTTTCATTGTCTGCCCTTAATTGGGCTACCAATTCTCGCAACTCACGTAATTCTTCATCCATAGTTACAAAACTACAAAATCACTCACCACTATGGGCTTGAAATCTACTCTCCACACTGAAACACCAATATGCCGCTGCCGCTATCTGCTCCTGCAGGAAAAAAAAAAAAAAAAAAAAAAAAAAAAACAAGCCCCACACTACCAATACTCACGTCTATGCACTATACCATACGAGGACCCTGCCGACTACGCCAGAATGTGGCAGGAGGGAAGAGTAGGGATTAACAATTTATCCACAAAGCAAATCCGACTACGCCACCTGAGAGGTTTTCTCCCAGGAAATAGAAATTGGCTTAAACCTTACTCTTAGGCCACACAGGTTCAGTTCTCATATGGATAGGCAAGAGACGTGGGTATAGTATAAAAGTACAAAATTTATTTTCAGAATTTGTGGCAGATTAAAATGGTCACATTACATTCTCTTAACATTTTGCCAGCACCCCCCTCCAACACAACTGCAGTAAAATAAAACAAAAAAAGAAAACAAATTTATAGAAGACAACAACAACGTTATTACAAAGTAAATATGAAAATGAAATTAACCGGGGAAATAAATTGAATAAACTAACTTACAGGGCTGAGGTCACACATGGGGGGGGGGGGGGGGGGGGGAATCACCAGTGCTCCGTTGTGTTCAAAAAGCACACTTCCACACACACACCACACTAGATCCACACACTCCACACTTCCCAAACCGTCCACAGCAAAAATGTCAAGTGCAGTGACACCACCACCACCTCAAGATCCTGCACCCATGGGACCTCAGTTCCTGCAAGGAAAATCAAAATCAATATACGGGATAAATTATACAAGAGTAAAACAAAACAACAAACCACACACAAGAAAAGAAAAACCAAATACAGCTTCTGTAGTTTCGCTATAGAAAAGCAAGATTCACACAGAACACAAAACTCACTCTTTTGCACACCGAATCACACAACCAAACAGAACAAAAATCACAAATTATATAACAGTAGCAATAGGAGATAGTAGTAGCAGGTCGTAATAACAACAGCAGTAAATAGAGCAGGTAACAGTTAGTCGTAGCAGTTAGCAGTAACTGCAACAGTAGAGTAGCAGCAGGCAGATAGTAGTAGCGGATAGCAGTAGCAGCTAGTAGTAACTGCAGCAGTAAATGTAGCAGCAGCAGATAGTAGTAACGGGTAGCAGTAGCAGCTAGTAGTAACTGCAGCAGTGAATGTAGCAGCAGCAGATAGTAGTAGCGGGTAGCAGTAGCAGCTAGTAGTAACTGCAGCAGTGAATGTAGCAGCAGCAGATAGTAGTAGCGGGTAGCAGTAGCAGCTAGTAGTAACTGCAGCAGTAAATGTAGCAGCAGCAGATAGTAGAAGCAGGCAGCAGTAGTAAACAACAGTAGTAGTTCTTTCCACTAGAGATCTCAGGATAGCAGAATCTTTCAAACACAACCGGAGTAATGTTACAGATGCTAGATCTTTATTTATAATCGCCCAGGACAGAGAGGGAGAATCCTACAAGAGATATGCACATGCAAAAACGGTTACTGTTTGCAAAATCACACGCTAGCATTCCCCTTTAATCTCTACATAAGAAACTTACCAAGCCGGGAGTAGTACACTCATGTATTACGAATTAGTCATCTCCATTTATGCTACAAGCGAGCTGAATGGGTGGCAGTCATTAACTCCATGGCAACCAACAGGAAAACCAACGAAAAACCAGGCTAAAAATGAAACCACGATGATTAATCCAAACGTTAATCGAAAGAGAGAGAGAGAGAGAGAGAGAGAGAGAGACACACACACAACCGCTAACATACCTGAAACAGATGTCAACAAACGCGGAACAAGAAAGGCGGGGCTGGAGGTGACACATCACCTAACACAGCCAACCGGCTCTAAAATAGGCAGCACTGGCCCCTGATTGGTTGTTATCAACATCAATCACTACCACTTATCCTATACACGGTCACACAAGCATGAAGACAAAGGAATTGTCTGTAGACCACCAAGACAGGATTGTCTCGAGGCACAAGACTGGGAAAGGTTACAGAAAAAATTCTCCTGCTTTAAAAGTTCCAATAAGCACAGTGGAGCACAGGAAGATGTTTGGAACCACCAGGACTCTTCCTAGAGCTGGCCGGCCATTAGCTGAGTGATCGGGGAGAACGGCCTTAGTCAGGGAGGTGACTTGATGGTTGCTCTGTCTGAGCTCCAGCGTTATTCTGTGGAGAGAGGAGAACCTTACAGAAGGACAACCATCTGTGCAGCAATCCATCAATCGGGCCTGTATGGTAGAATGGCCAGATGGAAGCCACTACCCGCCTGAAATTTGCCAAAAGGCTTCTGAAGGACTCTCAGACCATAAGAAACAAAATTTTCTGGTCTGATGAGGCTAAAATTGAACTCTTTGGAGTGAATGTCAGGCATTACATCTGGAGAAAACCAGGCAATGCTCATCACCAGGCTAATACCATCCCTACAGTGAAGCACGGTGATGGCAGCATCATGCTGTGGGGATGTTTTTCAGCAGCAGGAACTGGAAGACTAGTCAGGATAGAGGGAAAGATGAATGCAGCAATGTACAGAGAGATTCCTGATGAAAACCTGTTTCAGAGTGCTTTTGACCTCAGACTGGGGTGACGGTTCATTTTCCAGCAGGACAATGACCCAAAGCACATCGCCAAAATATCAATGGAGTGGCTTCACAACTTGGTAAATGTCCTTGAGTGGCCTAGCCAGGGCCCAGACCCAATTCCTATTGAACATTTCTGTAGAGATCTAAAAAAAGCTGTAGACTGTCGCTTCCCATCCAACCTGATAGAGCTTGAGAGGTACAGCAAAAAAGAATGGGCAAAAAAATTCCCAAGACAGATGTGCCAAGCTTGTGGCATCATATTCAAAAAGACTTGAGGCTGTAATTGCTGCTAAAGGTGCATCAACAAAGCATTGAGCAAAAGCTGTGAATACTGATGTATATGGAATTTTTATTTAATTTTGTTATAAATTTGCAACAATTGATGTTTTATATTGTAGTAATGAATTATAAATAATAATACAAATGAAATTATAATTATGAATTATACATATCAAACATTCATTATGAAATAATATTTTTATGTAATTGATAACTTTAATTGTAGAATTGTTTTATTGTGTACACACACCTATTAAAATATAAAAAAAAATAAAACAAAAACATAAACTGAAATATTATAGTAATATTAAACAACATGTGTGTGTATATTACATGTGTATATTATAATACACAAGATAACTAAACATTTTGTAAATATATTATACAGTATTACAATATTTTATGAATATATTAAATATATGTACAGGATATAATTGAAATATTTGCTGCGCTATGACCTCTCTTTAAAGGGGATCAGTGCTAATAATCCAATTTGTTTAGTGAAATTATGTTTATTAGATGGGACTGTGCACATATGAGCTTCAATGACTGATCCTAATTCAAATCTAATCCTCTAAAACATCATTATCACTTGCTTAAATCATCTACATTCCACTGTTTGCCCTGGATGCGTCATACAGCACTTTCTGAATTAAATCAATTGATTCCCGAAAGGGCTGGACTGGCCTGATCTTAGTAATGTCTTGTCAGCAAAGAGAGCATGTTTGAGTGTGTGTGTGGGTGCATGTGTCTGTCAAGGACATCAGTTTTTGTTGAAGGACAGTAGACTCCCCTAAGCTATTTAAACTCAACTGAGCGAACACAGGAAAACCAAAAATGAGATTTAGACAAGAAAAATACCTTGACATAACCAGAGGAGACTCTGAACATGCACATTCAGTTTAAAGAGGCTGTATGATACTATTTTAAAAATCCCCTGAAGCGTCTTGAAACATGCAGTGCTATTTTTAGTGTTGAGATCATTTCCACTGAAAGAGGAAAAAAGGGAGGGACATAACAGGCAGCCCATCCCCTATTTCAAAAGTAACCAATAAGGTTTTATTTGAACTTGAAAATGATGTCATTAATTACTCAATCCTAAGGTGTCATTCCAAACTTCAGAGACCATAGTTTGTCTTTGAAACACAAATTAGGTTATATTAGGTGAGACCGGAGAGCTCCCTCATCCTCTGTAAATTCCCGACTGATTCAAAATTTTAAAAAATACCAAATACCATCCTCACAGCAGACCATATTCAAAAGCTGCAAGAATAGAAAATTATTGCAAAAATAATGACTTTATTCAACAGTTTATTCTCCTCAGTGTCAGTATATTGTGCACGTTCAAAAGAATGCAGTGCATGTCCCACCTAAACACCTGCTGAAGTATAACAAAATCCCTTTAAGGCAAGTCATTTCACTCAACGGCCATCTTTGAAATTCTCGAGGTCTATGCTCAGGCATTCTGTCTGAATAGGTAAACATCAAATCCTACAAAACCTACAAAAATCGCGGGGGCTAATAATTCTGATTTCAACACTATGGGCTATATTTTGACGGTCCATGCGCAAAGCGCAAAACGCAGGGCGCAAATGCTTTCAGGGCATGTCAGGATGCGTTTTTGCTAATTTAAGGACAGGAAATCTGCCTTGCGCTTCGGCGCATGGTCTAAAAGGGTTGAGTTTATTTTCTTAATGAGTTATAGGTGTGTTTTAAGAATAAACCAATTACAGTCTCATCTCCCATTCCCTTTAAGAGTCAGCTGCGTCGCGCCAAGAGCGCATTCACTATTAACAGGACGCAAAGTAAGTCTAAGTGGAAAAAATGAGCATTTCACAAGCAAACAGTTAACAGTTAACAGTTTTTTTATCAGAAAACTGTTAAACAGAGCATCTACTGCGTGAGAATGAGAGATAATGGATCACTTTCATTTTCGCTCTTGGATAAGGAAACTTTACGCACAGACATCAATTAGTCTATAAATAAATACTTTTGTTTATTTCTAAATTCAGTTCTAATTTCCAGCAAACGAATAAATTAATAATAATAGCAAAATGTGCTCAAAAACCTGCAAATTGTTATGAATGAACTGAAAAGGCCTCCAGAGATGAAGAAGACATAAAAGCAGTGATTTTTCATATTTATGTAGGCTAGAAAATAATATGTTTTGTAATATTTTAATCCTTTATATTTATATCCTATATCTATTCTTATTATATCCTATATATATCCTTAATATTTAAATTTTTTCATATGTAAAGATATTTGCCTATTGCTCTCTTGTGCATATTAAGCAGTGCGTAAGCGAGGCACAACTCTGCACCGGAGTTTAGACCGGGTTAGTTTTGGTCTAATGAAAAATCTATTATAGTTTCTCAAAATAGCAACGCGCCAGCGGTCCGCCTCAGAACGCCTTCCTTTTTAGACCAGAACGCCTATGGGCGCAAAAATGAGCGATAATGCATTTGCTATTTAAACAGCGTAGCGCAATGCCTCAAAACGACTCTTGCGCCAAGCTGAAACTACCAAAAGACTATTGCGTCACGCCTTGCGCCACACTGCGCCGGGTGTATGATAGGGCCCTATATATTCATTCATTCATTTTCTTGTCGGCTTAGTCAGTAATGTATATACATCCCTAAGTAATGTCCAAATCTCTCAAATACATAAACAGTTGGCCCTTCACCATGTTTATAAGCAACTGTTGCTGTTTTTTCCCACAAGGCTCTCAATGACCTTTCCACAGAGCAAAACATGCAGCACTTAATGGCGAACACCAAATCTGACATTTACACACGGCTGACTGCCGATTGAAAAAAGAGAGAATGCTTTCCATGCCCTGCAGGTAAGAGTGGCTTTGAATTACTGCTTTTAAAGTAATGCTTTTTCTTTGATACATATTCTCAGTAACTGCTGATACAAAACGATTGCATCCCCAATTGTTTACAGGCTAAATTGCAGATCAGTCTAGACAGATATCTCGATGAGCGAGCCAATGCAGTCCAACACAAACACTAAGATGGGCACCTTGGGGTGAATCCAGGAAGAAAGCGCCGAGGAGTCTGGGAGATTGATGGGAAGGCGAAAGCAAGATGTTTTTCATGTTTGATACTTTGGCAGGTCTGCGGCCGGGTATCGGATTCAAATCAGAGCTCTCTCAAAGCCTGTGGCTGTAATGATACATGTCTTTATTAGAAAATGCATTAGTGGGCACCTCCATTAAAGCAGGATATATCCCATCATTCACTATTATTGTTGTTTGAGGAGAACTGATGCCGGCTGGATGCAGAGTCATGTCAGAAACATGCAAAAATCTAATCAGCTGTAATAATCCCAGTGCACCACGCCTGAATTAAGCCATATATTTGTGTAATTTGTGAGCTTTCATTTCCATTTAAATGGATGATTAAACTCATTTAGTTGGCTATGTAATTTAATAATAATAATAATAAACTAGCAAACAAAAACAAATTCATTATGAAGCAAAACAAACGATTGTCTCTAGGCGTGTGTTGTTGAATTGTTCACTCTTTTTGCTCACTCTTGAAGAAAATTGATGGATAGGTAAAATAGAGAACAACACACTTTTCCAAAAAAGTGGGGACACTAAACATAAATCTGGAATAACAGGACTGATCCAGAGAAAATGTGATATCTGAGGCCTGTTGCACAAAACTATTTAAGTTTTTACTCTGAGTATGCTTGGTTTTTGTAAACCGTGAGTTTTTGAGCACGAGAAGCCAGGGTTGCTTTTACTTAGGTTTTGGTTGCTTGCATTGTTCTGAATTGAGTTTAATTCCAAAACTAACCAATCTAAAATCTAAAACCAAAACTAACCAATCTGACATGTATGTATGTGTGTGTGTGTGTGTGTGTGTGTGTGTGTGTGTGTGTGTGTGTGTGTGTGTGTGTGTGTGTGTGTGCGTGTGTGTGTGTGTGTATATATATATATATATATATATATATATATATATATATATATATATATATATATATATATATATATACAGTTATATTTATTTATACAGTTGAAGTCAGAATTATTAGCTCC